AAGGAAAGAAAGAAAGAAAAAGAAAAGAAAAAATGCAGACCCAAATGCAATGCCTTATTCTTACAAATACAGTGATTTGTCTGTCCACAGCACAGCCCTCAGGAAAACAGAGATCTCCGTGAAACCAGAGGATATCTGTCTCTTGGAGGCCCAGACCTCCCTCAGATCAAAGGAGGTCATAGACAGAAAAAGAACGGAGGAGCATCAGCCAGGCATAGTGGCACCTGCGTGTAATCCCAGCACTTTGGGAGGCTGAGGCAGGAGGACTGCAAATTTGAACTCAGCCTAGGCAATTTAGCAAGACCCTGTCTCAAATAGGGTCGGGGGAATGTATCTCAGTATGAAGGCCTTGGGTTTAATCCTTGGTACCACACAAAAGGAAGGGAGGAAGGAAGGAAAGGAGGGAAGAAAGGACATTGTGCTTCTGAGGGAGAGGGAACCTGAGTGCTGGAGCAGGGTGGGCAGCGGCTGTCCTGGAAGCCTCGGGGTGGGGCAAGGAATCCTGTATATTTTTCCTGGGCCAAACAAAATGCTGGAGTGAAAGGGCTGCAGATTTGTGTGAAGCCTGCCTCTTTCTTACGTGACAGAACCCTTCCAGTGTCCTAAGAAGCCGTCCAAGCAAGCCCTCAGAGAACTCTCCGCAGCTGCGCCCAGAGGCGCTTCCCCCTGCCGGCGGGCGGGGTGAGCCTGCCGTACTGGGGGTGTGGGGCGCCTGGGTGGGGGGCGAGCCTCCCTCCCGCCTTCCCCGCAGCCCCTCATCTGCCGTCCAGAGGATCCCCGGCTCCTTAGCCCGGCGCCCCCTCCGCGTTCGGGGACCTGAGGTCCGCGAGCCGGGGCCGCGCCTCCTGTCTGGTTGCAGCGAAGACCACGAGTTCTTCGCCCGCTCTCTCTTCACCTCGGACCCTGCGCCAGCCACACTGGCCTGCTCGTTTTCTCCCGAATGTCGCTGGAGATTTGTGGCTTGCTCCTCCCCTGCCCTTAGCAGCAGGCCCATTCCACACCCCTCCTAGATCACCTGCTGAGGGCCGGCTGACCTCTCCCCTCCTCACTCCTCCTCTCCTCGGGCACTCCTGCGGCCCCTGGGCTCCCTGCAAGGTGGGCGGGCCTCTCACCCCGAGACCAGAGTACTCAGCCTCCTCATCAAATTCCCTGAGGTGCTCAGCCCAAGGCCCTGCTTCTGGGGACAGCCCACAGTGTCTGCTTCAACCAGCACCCCCATTTCTCTCGCACTGCGCCCCAAAACACTGCAAGGCATAATAAAGTACAAAGCATTCCTG